GGAAGAATGTCATCGGGTACTTTTTGCCTCCTCTTTTATGAGTACTGTAACTTCAGTCATACTATTCTTGTCACATAGGCCTAACGTTACTGTTTTTCGCTTGCTATAGGCTATAGTAGGCCATTTCAAATGCAGCCATCATCAGAGATGTCACTGCAAGAGGGAGGGGATTTAAAAAAAAAAAGATTACAAGGCAAAATATATTTTAAAAAAAAAGATGTCCACGGATAAATCATTTATAATACTGTAATGTTCCATAAAAAAATAAGGACTGTCAATTTTGATTTCATGGTGACTTTAATGAAATTACGATGTCTGGGCTTTGTCCTCAGTGGAGAACGAGAGTCACTGTGACTTTGTAAAGCTGAGAGAGATGCTAATCCGTGTCAACATGTTGGACCTGAGGGAACAGACCCACGCCAGACACTATGAGCTGTACCGCCGCTGCAAACTGGAGGAGATGGGCTTTAAAGACACGGACCCTGACAGCGAACCCTTCAGGTACTGACACTTCTACAACGAATTGCTAACTTGTACTAGTTAGTCTTAGTCTTGCTGTAAAAAAAATCAGTAAATTGATTTAAGACGCATACTATGATCATGGAAACATTACATACATTACATACACATTCATTGCATCAAGTGCAATGAAATGTCTGTTAATGCTTCTCTTCTTACTATCTGTCCTCACAATCAGTCTACAGGAGACATACGTGGCCAAGAGGAGAGAATTTATCGGCGAGCTACAACTCAAGGAGGAGCAGATGAGACAGATGTTTGTCAACAAAGTGAAGGAGACAGAAGCAGAGCTAAAAGAGAAGGAGAGAGAGGTATAAACCACTGGTTTTAACTGGAAAACATGTTAAATTTTTTTTGCCATAATTTCAGGAGAGTATTATATGTGTACTAGTGTTAGTTTAATATAAATGGTCATGTAAAACTACATTTTAACTGCTTTTGGTGCAGACACTGCCTTAGAGTAGAATAAATAATGAAATAAATCACTTTTTATAAAATAATAAAATAAGCATAAGATTCTAAATACTTCAAATTAAATCATAAAATAAAATCTTTAAATGCTTTTCACCTTTTAAATATAAAAAAAATATTTTTATTAAATAAAATAAAGTCTTTAAATAATAGTAACTTTTTATTAAATCATACAATATCTAAATACATGTCAACATTTATATTTATAGAATAAAACAACCTTTTCATAAACTTAAATAAAAAAATACAAAACTAAAAAAAATATAAATAAAACAAAATTGCGAGCATCTCAGCACTGAACTAGGCGTGTTAATCTATTAAACATTAACAGAATTATTTAAATGATACGCTCATAATAAACAATTTAATTTATTGCAAAAATGAAATAAAATAAAAGCGAGTATCTCATTAAATGAACTTTTGTTTTGTATTCCCAGCTTCATGAAAGATTTGAGATGCTGAAACGCACACATCAGGAGGAGAAGAGGAACCTGGAGGAGAAGCGTAGAGATTTAGAAGAGGAGATGAACACCTTCAACAGGAGGAAAGTGGCTGCAGAAACCCTACAGTCTCTTCAAGGCTCCTCTGGCATGAAAAAAGACAAAGAGAAGAAAACGTAAGCCTTCTCCTCCTCCCTCTGAGACTATCTGTTCCCATCTCTGGTAGTCACCGTCTGTGAATGAGCCTGATCTGTGTCTGCATTCACAAGCCTCTGAGGTCTTTTTGTTTGTCTGTGTTGGCTGGGCTCTGATGCCAGGGCAGAGGATTCTGGGATAGGAGAGCTTCAATGCTGTAATATTGGAGCACACTGGCAGATGGGGTTTTGGCATGTTTAAGGATAGAGAGACAGATGATGACACTAGTTGCCTGGTACTGCCAGCTGCGGGATCAGCATGCATTTACGCCCCATGATTAAGTGTGTTTGCCACTTTTTGCATGCACTCTGAATAAAATGAGTGCTTGATCCCTGAAATATGTGTTAGTGCTCTGTTTTTTGGCTGGTTAAACATGCATTTTTAATCTAGCTGATATTATTAATGTCTATAAATATTTTCTTTTCAGTTGATTGGCGACCCAAGAAAGCATCAGCATCATCACTGCTCAGTAACTATGTGATGATCCACTGATGTGTACCTGATTCTTCTGGAATTTACATTTTTATTAAAGGGATAGTTCACCTAAAATGTCAATTTTGTCATCATTTATCATTCCAAACCTACCCTCTTTTGTGGAACATGAGATATTTTTGTTCATACAATGGAAGTCAATGGTAACCATAACTGTTTGGTTACCAACATTCTTCAAAATATATATATTTTTTGTGAGCCATGCACAGAAGAAGAAAAAAAAAGGCATACAGGTTTGGAACATCAGCAAGGTGAGATAATTTATATTTTTGGGTCAATTAACCTTTTAAAGTAAACATGAAGCTGTTTAACTTTGAATTGGTTTGATTAAAACCAGTTAACTTTGTCATTGTCTTATATTCATACAGAACTGGACTGTTAACATATCATTTAGAGTACTGTACTGTACTGTTTTATTATTAAGCAGCATAATGATGATATTTTTAAATGTTAAATATCTCTACTGATGTTATGGCTTACCTCTTCTACACAAATGCAACTGCATATTTTTGAATTTTGAAATAAAAAAAATACTTTTAGTTTTTGATCTTTATTTTATTACTCGCCTCTCTATAAGAATGGAGATAAATATAGAAAAAATATATTTTATTTTATTTAAATAAAAATAAAGAGAAATCAATGCACAAATAAATAAAATATAAAGTTAAAAATAAAAATAACATTAAAATAAATACAAAAAAGTAATACAATAATTAATTCAGGACTAAACTTGGTATTGTAATTGTATTCATTTTATCAAGTCATATATTCCTTTATTTATTTTCCTATTATCACACTTAATTATTTTTAATTTGTTCAGGTTTGGGACTCCATATACAGGTCCTTCTCAAAAAATTAGCATATTGTGATAAAGTTCATTATTTTCCATAATGTAATGATAAAAATTAAACTTTCATATATTTTAGATTCATTGCACACCAACTGAAACATTTCAGGTCTTTTATTGTTTTAATACTGATGATTTTGGCATACAGCTCATGAAAACCCAAAATTCCTGTCTCAAAAAATTAGTATATTTCATCCGAAAAATATATATATATTTCAAAAAAAAAAAGTCAACCTTCAAATAATTATGTTCAGTTATGCACTCAATAGTCAATACTTGGTCGGGAATCCTTTTGCAGAAATGACTGCTTCAATGCGGCGTGGCATGGAGGCAATCAGCCTGTGGCACTGCTGAGGTGTTATGGAGGCCCAGGATGCTTCGATAGCGGCCTTAAGCTCATCCAGAGTGTTGGGTCTTGCGTCTCTCAACTTTCTCTTCTCAATACCCCACAGATTCTCTATGGGGTTCAGGTCAGGAGAGTTGGCAGGCCAATTGAGCACAGTAAAACCATGGTCAGTAAACCATTTACCAGTGGTTTTGGCACTGTGAGCAGGTGCCAGGTCGTGCTGAAAAATGAAATCTTCATCTCCATAAAGCTTTTCAGCAGATGGAAGCATGAAGTTCTCTAAAATCTCCCGATAGCTAGCTGCATTGACCCTGCCCTTGATAAAACACAGTGGACCAACACCAGCAGCTGACATGGCACCCCAGACCATCACTGACTGTGGGTACTTGACACTGGACTTCAGGCATTTGGGCATTTCCTTCTCCCCAGTCTTCCTCCAGACTCTGGCACCTTGATTTCCGAATGACATGCAAAACTGAGCAACAGTCCAGTGCTGCTTCTCTGTAGCCCAGGTCAGGCGCTTCTGCCGCTGTTTCTGGTTCAAAAGTGGCTTGACCTGGGGAGTGCGGCACCTGTAGCCCTGGCTCTGGATGTTTCTACTCCAGACTCAGTCCACTGCTTCCGCAGGTCCCCCAAGGTCTGGAATCGGTCCTTCTCCACAATCTTCCTCAGGGTCCGGTCACCTCTTCTCGTTGTGCAGCGTTTTTTGCCACACTTTTTCCTTCCCACAGACTTCCCACTGAGGTGCCTTGATACAGCACTCTGGGAACAGCCTATTTGTTCAGAAATGTCTTTCTGTCTTACCCTCTTGCTTGAGGGTGTCAATGATGGCCTTCTGGACAGCAGTCAGGTCGGCAGTCTTACCCATGATTGCGGTTTTGAGTAATGAAACAGGCTGGGAGTTTTTAAAAGCCTCAGGAATCTTTTGCAGGTGTTTAGAGTTAATTAGTTGATTCAGATGATTAGGTTAATAGCTCCTTTAGAGACCCTTTTCATGATATGCTAATTTTTTGAGACAGGAATTTTGGGTTTTCATGAGCTGTATGCCAAAATCATCAGTATTAAAACAATAAAAGACCTGAAATATTTCAGTTGGTGTGCAATGAATCTAAAATATATAAAAGTTTAATTTTTATCATTACATTATGGAAAATAATGAACTTGATCACAATATGCTAATTTTTTGAGAAGGACCTGTACAAGAACCACTCAATAATAAATATAAAGAAAATGTTTTATTTTATGCACGACCAATTCAATTAAGAGTAAACTACAAGGCTTTTCTTCGAGAGAATTTGAAAAAAATATTAGTTTTGATTGGTGCCTGCTGCTGCCACAAAGTTTGGAGTCCTTCCTTTAATTTCCTTTAGTCAATTTTTTTTTAGCTTATTTAGTCTTCCGTCTGCATATTCTCTGACCTTAGAAAGGTATTGAACTAGAAGATTTGTGTCAGCCTTAGTGGCTTTTGCTAAAGGATTACCACGTGTACTTAACCAAATCCCAAAAGCACTTAAACCACCAGTTACTTGCTGAATTCTCCGGAGCAAGAGATGCATTTCCAGATGGTGTTTGTTATTAGTGAAGCAGGTGTCTGAACTGATTCTTTACACCTCAATCACCTACTGATATGCATTATACATCATGACAAAATGGTATAAAAACATTGCAATGTAAAATGAGGAAACTTAGCTTATGTTCACTCTTGAATCATTTATTGTTCTGTTGAAAATGTGTTGCTCATATGACTCAGAGTCAGCGGCATTAAAGGAATACAGAAGGGTTAAAAAGAGTCTGCATTCTTCCCCAAAACTCAACACAACAATCTAACCGTCATCTCAGATCCAGTATACAGACTGAAATACCCTTGATAACAGTTAAAAAGGCATCATAAGGCCATGGTGGAAATGACAAAAGATTAAAAAAACCTTGCATGTGTCTCTGCATAAGCGGCTTTTATATCTTACACTGACCGGCCGCTGGTCCTCAGACCTCAAAAGCCAGACAAAAGACGTGAATGACCTCTGATCTGAACCAAAAGGATAGCTGGAATGTGCTCTTGTACAACAGTCAGGTAAGTTAAACTAAAATTTCACACTCATTCTCTCACATAGACGAATACAATCAAACTTATACATCTATGAGGAAATAACTGGACTCTGGTTGTTTATTTTAACCAATGTCCAGTTTAAAAAAAACCCAACTAAAAACATAAAAGAATGAAATTTCAAAATCAATGTCCCCATCCATATGATGGTGCATCCAGCATGTACTTGCACTGGCCTCCTCTGGCTGAATAAATAAACTCTCTTGTGATTGGCTGACCATGTGTCAAGAGAGTATCTCCCTTGATTGGTGGACACGCTGACACAAAGTTACGATTTGCATACAATATCTTCAGTACTTAATCTAAATGACCTTTCGATTAAAATGTTGTGCTCTAGTAACTTGTGTCTTTACAGATACATTCGCTCCTACTTGCCGAGTGTGCTATCTGTCATCTAGGAGTCTCTTTGGCTGAGAATTTCATCTGGCTGATGCAGCCATATAAATCTGACAAACACCTTCCCACCTGAAACAAACAATCATACATCATATATGCCTGCATTTTAATATTATCTTCTTTTTCAAACGTAATACTTATAATATACATCTGTACCTGTATAAAATAACAAACAAAGAAAAGAACTAAGAAATAAATTAAAGGAATAGTTCACCCAAAAATTACAATTCTGTGATAAGCACACATGCACATTTCAAATGTCAACACCAATAAATGCAATTCTTGCATTTTGTGCTCGAAGTTTGAATATGCATATGCGAAAATTCAATTTGAGAGTTGTGACTGATGGCAGAATTTGCAGTTAATAATGACTTTTGTGAGGAACAGATTTATTCCTAGGGATGCACCGATATAAAAACTTTGGGCAATACCGATAATTCTTTATATTTGAGAGCCGATAACCGATATATTGGCCGATAAATCTAAATCCAAATTTTTATATAATTTTTGAGAGCCTGATTACAAAAACAAAAGTCTCACCATTAAAATACATGTCCCAAGCACACAATTATAATGTTCTCATTATAATTGTATGTAGCCTATATGACAGGCAGTTTGTTGCACTTAACTGTATTTTCCTTTTTTGAAGTGATTCCAATCATATTTCAAGCAATTCAAAACCATCTTGGCGAACTGAAGTGTCTCAGCTGAAGGGGGAAAAAATCCATTATTTATAGGCTTTAATATATCTGCCAAATTTTATTATCGGGCCGATAACGATGACATTAACAATGAACGTATATATATGATATATCGTGCATCCCTACTTATCACTTTAGAACTCGTATGGACCACCTTTATGGTGCTCTTTTTGTATTTGCTGACACTGGACACATTTGTCTGGAAAAGAGCATTTGTTAAAATATCTTTTTATGTGTTCCACAGAAAATAGAAAGTCAAACTGGCTTGAAACAACATGAGGTTGTTAAAGGATGACAGAGTTTTAATTTTTAGGTGAACTATCCCTTCAAGGGTTTGAAACTGTGGAATATGCACGATTGAACAGTGATTCATGTCCTAAATGTTTCAAATGCTTATTGGCTGACTGCTGAGAGGTTTGTGGTTTCTGTTGACGTCATTCTGGGCGAGACAGCAGTGTGTCTCACATGGTCCCGCCTACTAAGGCTGAATGTCCAGTGTTCATGTGTACAAATCGATAGGTAATACATTGAAGTACCAAATGATTCTTTAAATAACTATGAAAGTCTGTGTTATTTGTGTACCATATTGATATTCAAAAAAACAAACGCTGTAAGACCCGTCTTCACTGGTCCACGTTCTCAGTGTATGTCCTCCACAGTGACTGATGAAGTTTGACTGGGAAACACTTACGATTTGTGTTTGTAGTCCTTTATATGCTTTTTTGCATGTGTGGTTGAGCAGCTTTACACATATCTGATCGAGGCTCAGGGGGCAAAAACCGCAGACTGAATCCTGATTCTTTCTTGTCAGTAGTTCATACTGAAATCTCATAGGTTGTTCCTCCAACACCAGTCACTTTCTTCACCCCTCCTGCAGGTTTGTGTGAGTGGGCGTGATGATTGGCCACGTTTTGTTTAAAAGTCGAGCTGAATGGTTGGTGGGAGGGGGAAAAAAAGAGAGAAATGTAAAAAAAATTAGATAGGATGCATGTGGAAAAGGTAATAATTAAGCCAAAAACACCTTAGATGCACTGAAAGTGTTGTAGGAATATATGTATTAAATGCAACAGAGACAAAGCAAGCAAGACACATTCACAAACAAGGTTTCAAGTCAATATTAAATCACAAGCCAATTTTTACCATAATAGCTTAATGGTGACGTTGAAGTCACGTGACCATGGTGTAGTTCATTTACAGTCTACGTTTAGCCTTTTACTTCTGGCGATTGTATTATTTAGGCTTAAAAATTCATAAAAGTTGTGCTCATTTGTGAAGATTATCATGATGAACAAAATGTGTATGAATCAGAAACCTTTGTTGTACACAGCTTATTTCTGCAATAATCCAAAAGCCAATGAAAAATTCCTATTGTGTTTTTGGCAAGGGAACCAGGGTGACACTAACTTCCGTGCTGCCTACAAAAATACATCATCCCTGCAGAACTCTATATTATATAATATTCAGAAATTGCTGCATTAAAAATGTAATGCTGCGTTTGGGCATTTTAGAAAAGCTATTTGAACTACAACAGCAGTCTAATCCGCCTTGGTAATGTCAGGCAAAAAGGAAGTTGGTTCAGAGGTAGAAATGTTAAATATTACGGTTTTCCAATATGTTGACTTTTAAGACATAAAAATGAGCAAAATAAGACGAACCTTAGCACAGAGACATAGTCATCCTTATGGCCACAAGGCAGGAGGAGGGAGGGCAGAGGAGAGCAGACGAACGTAAAGAAAGAGAACAGAGAAGGAAAAAGGACAGAGAAAGATGGAGGGTGCGTACAGAAATTCGAGGGACAGTAGAGTGGCCATGGGTTGCAGGAAGAAAGAGACAGTGTTACTGAACAAAGAGAAGAAGAGAGACCAAACCAAATGAATACAATCACGAACACTGGACCTCAATGTTCTACTTGACCATCACACACACAGGCGTGCAGGTTTTTTTGAGGGGCGGGGAAAGAGAGAGACGGCTAAAATCTGCAGGCATTACTCACTTCGGCATCGGAGTCCCGCCCCCTGATGTCGAGGGGCGGTGCTGTAATTCGGCGCCACCTCCGTAGGACAGTGATTTGCCCAGAGGTGTATGGCCAGGGGCAGGGCCAGGAGGAGGGGAGCCCAATGAGCGAGCGCGAGGAGAAAGGGGTGGAGCTCGAGAAGGGGGTGAGCTTGTTGGGCGCAGGAAAGCTCTGTTGGGGGAGGGTCTTAGGGGGGCAGGGCAGGCCTGGAGAGAGCCCTCCCTCTGCTGAGCAGACAGGAAAGGGGACGTGTACCCCAAAATAGGCGGGGGCCCCGGTACTGTGCTAAGAGAGTTCGGAGGGTGCGGTCTGGGTGGGGACAGCTCATGAGCAGCAGACTCAAACTCTGGACTTTCGGAGGGCGTCAGCAGGCTTTCGTATGACAAGCTGCCGTTGCGCGTCTGATTGGCTAAACTCTTGTAGCTAGTGGAGGTCGTACCCTCAGAGATGAGGGGCCCAAGGGCATTGTGGGCCGTTTGGGCAGAGCGAAGGCTTGAGGAGCAAGAGGCTGCTGCTGATTGGAGGAGGGTGTCTGTAAAAGAAGGGTAAGATCGCCCGCCAAACGCAGAGGCCCCACCCAGCCCCCCAGAGCCTGCTCTACCCCCCTCCCCTCCCCCACGGCACCCTGCACCCCCTCGGCTTGACAAACTGGGGTCAGAGAGGTAGCTGGGCTGCCCAGTGGTGACGGGGATAGAGGGAGACTCGGTCATACTGTTCCCTCGACTCATCTGAGAGGAAATAGAAAGACAGAAAGTGTACACCAAACGTTCCTGACAGCTGAAGCATCACCGAAGAGATGAAGGATTACACACAACTGAAAGTTTGAGCAAACCACACTGTATAAAAGGGACGTACGGAGCCCCTAAAGGGACATTGGAGATTGTAGAAAAAAATCTATTTAAATGCTTTTACATTTGCTTGAAAAAACTTTTGCATTCTTGTGCAAAGTTTTACGTTCGACCACATTGAAAAGCATAGAAAAACTATATTTCAGAGCTTTTGAGAACAGACCGTTAATCTCAAAATAAATCAATTTACTTAATTAAACAGACTGGGGCAAAATACTGTCACTGCAAGTTTAAAATACTCAAAATAGCACATTATAAAATGCAAAAGTTTTGCCAGCGAATGCAAAGTGTCTCAGCAAAATGCAAAGGTTTTTGTGAGCGAACGCAGAAGTGCTGAAAAGGTTTTTCTTCCCATCACCATGTCCCCTTGGGGGCTCCGTAGGATCGTATGGAGGCACAAGAATTATGTTTAAAACATCAAGGAGAATTTGACACTAGATTCATGCCATTTTTTACAGAATGGATGAAGGAAAGGAGTCAAGTTATGCTTAAGAATGAGGAAAACGGCAACAGGAAAGAGTCCAGCTTGAATAAAACGCAACAACTGCAGAGTCAAAATGACAAAACACAAGAGCAAGGTGCAAAACACACCATAACAACAGACGACTCACATCTAAACTTACTCGCTCACTGACTGCCAGTGATTTCAGATAATCAAGAAAAATAATAAAAGAAAGGATTATCAAAAAAGGGGGAAAATGCAATCCAAAGTGCATCATGGTTGTCTTAAACTAAAAAAATATTTGACAGTTTCTGTACCTGAACTTATGTGTACTCCACTTAGACTTACCTTGCTGGAATGTGTGGAGGCCGTGTGGTTTTTTCCTGGGCTGCTGTAGGCCGGCCTATATTTATACAATGAAGGTGTTTGTGGAGTCTCATTCAGCAAGCTGCACTCTGATTGAAAGAAAAGATTGTTATAAAAATATCTTATTTTTTCCTTTTATCTTTACTTGACCTCATGATCTGACATCTATGATGCATGTGCACTAACCTTCATTTTGTGTGTGAGGCAGCCCAGGGTATCTGTGCTCTGGTTTGGGTGGTGGAGGTGGATCAGCATCAGTGGACTGACTCTCCATTATCTCCAGACTACTTTTAGACTGAAGTACACACACACACAGAGCAACTCTTATCAAAAATAGCCTGTTAGTCTAAAGGGTTTTTATGAACCTACTCTAAACAGAGATCTTTAGCATTGTACGTCAATTACTTTTAAAAGCAAGTTGATCATTTCAGCTGTAGTGATAGCTGAAACGAAAACACCAGAGCATGACAAATACTAAATAGTGTCAAGTTTGGAGGTAAGAATGGAAAAGGGTGACTGATATTGATTTTTTAATATATTATTTTTGTGTTTAAATGTTAGAAGAGCAGAACCAATATTTAATATTTTTGTATTCATGATTTTTTTTTTTGCACAGCAGTATCCAAATAATTACTAGGCTACAACAATTACATATCAAATTCATTGTGAATATTTTAATTATTATAATGCATTAAATAAGCAATTTAACGACCACTTATTGGCGGTCCAACAATAATAAAAACAACTAATTTAATATAAAAGTTCAAATATGGCTCAAAAACACTGCTCAAATTATTATCAATCAATGTCTAATTATGTTTCGCTTTATGTTTTGAACCTACAACCTTTCTGTTACCAGCACAAATCTCTAAGTTGATCTATTATAGTTTATCTATTATATTATATTTATTACATTATCTTTATGTATTTACTGAATCAATTTACACTGCGCAAAAACAAAAAACTACCATTACAGACCTACTCCATTTGGAAAGCACTGCAGCTGCAAACCATGAATGTTAGCATGATGAAAAAAGGTATGATAAGATGTTTGTACCTGCTGGATGCCATTATCCAGGACTTTAGCAGCTAGCTGGGCTTCAGATAGAGGTGGCCGCAAAAATGGTGGCTGGACCTGAACAGAACGAGGCTTTCGTAAGCGACCAAGATACCTGCCCCAAAAAAAAAACATTTACATACAATTAGAACTTCATTTTCAACAAAATCTGCAAAACACATTTTTATTTTTGTAAGGAAACACGATTTTTTAACCTGGGAGCCTGCGAACTACACAGCACGTATGCAATGTTTTTCAAACATCCGTTTGTGAAGGGGTTAACGCCACCTCTGAACTTCCCGGTCACCTGAGGGTGAAGAGAGGAATATTGAAAACTCGCCCATGGAAATCAGGCAGAAAAATAACATCATTCTGTTCGACTAAACACATACAATGTGGACAAAAGACACACCCGAACACACACACAGACACACCTGTTCATTGGTCGTTCTCCCTCTGGCTACAAGAACAACATGGAACCCAGTGAGTCCCGCAACCGGGACAAAAAACAGACCAGCTACACACATCACTGCCATACTGAGTAGCGTGTTAAGGATACCAACAGAACAGAACAGGTTTATGTGTATTTATGTGCACATGCATATGTGAGTGCATTATGTGTAAAGGATACGTGACTCCAGCGTGGACCTGGTCCAGTTGTTTAGTGTGATGGAGGATGTATAGCAGACTGAAGCCAAACACATCCATAATGTGAATAGTGAGCGAGAACAGGAACAGAAAGAAATAACGATAGTTCCGCCTCCCAATGCAGTTATTCACCCATGGGCAGTGATGGTCAAACTCCTAAACACAGACACACATGCATACACACATTTAGACAATAAAAAAGAAAAAGAAAAAAAAGTCAAGACCATAACCGAAACACTGAAGACTTTGTTTAGTGTGAAACTACACGAATATGTGGGTACCTCCACACAGTTGTCACACACGGAGCAGTGTGAACAGCGCGGTGGTCTGTAAAAGCGGCACGTGGAGCACCACTTCATCCGCACCTGAATGCCCCTCACCTCCACCGTCTTATAAAGTGGAGCCCGGAAATCATCCTCTTTATCCTCATCTTCCTCAGCTGTAAGACATGTGCGCACACTTCACAGGTCAAACACAATAAATACTGTCCAGGTCATATTTTCCCATTTTGCTTATGACACATGATATTATATATATATATATATATATATCAGCCACCATATTGGTATCGGCCTATATATGTTCATTTTTAATGTTATAATTATCAGCCCGATAAGACATTTTGGCCGATATATTAAAGCCGATTATTTCCTTCAGCTGAGACACTTTAGATGTGTGCGCACTGTTCGCCATGATGGTTTTGAATTGCTTGAAATATGATTGGAATGGCTACATAAAATTATCATGAGAAAATTATAATTGTGTGCTTGGGACATGGCCTTTAATGGTGAGACTTTTGTTTTCGTAATCAGGCTCTCAAAAATTCAATAAAAATTTGGATTTAGATTTATCGGCCAATATATCGGTTATCGGCTTTCAATTATAAATAATTATCGGTTATCGGTGTCGATATTTTCATATCGGTGCATGCCTAGTTAAAAGCTTGGGGTAATAAGAATTTGTTAAATGTTTTTGAAAGAAGTCTTACCAAGACTGCATTTATTTAATTAAAAATACAGTAACAACAGTAATATTGTTAAATATTTAGCCCCAACCCCTTTAATCGTGAAAGTGAAAGTGCCCTTTTGGTCTTATTGAGGTGCCCCTTATATCCAGATCCACCCACCTTCACACAACTTAATGTAAATTACATACAAATAAACTGAAGTGCGTACCTCTAGGAAAGATGCCAGGGTCCATGAATGTGGCCATACAGAAATTGGCCAGTGTGAAGAGGAAGACCACAGCATTATAGAGCGGAATGGTGGAGGAGATCCGCTCTGACAGCCACGGACACCTGCACAGAGATTTCTCTCATTACACGTACAGTAATACTGAGACACTGAGTTTCTGTATTAATGCATTTAGGTTCTACTTACGTGAAACAGAGAAACAGTGTAGTGGCCCCCACAAGGAAGGCGGTTGCTGCGGACACAGGCACATAACGACTGGGGCGGAATGGGCGGGATGGGGAGGGGTCTCCAAGAGCCCCGCCCACACTGAGACCCACAGGCATTTGGAGGAGTAAAAAAAAAAAACTGGGGAACAGGGGAAGCTGTCAGAGAGAGAAGAAAGCCTGTCTCTCACCTGAGTGAAGATGGTGTGTAGCTATGGCCATAATAACTTTAGTGAAACTGATATAAACAGAATTATGTTCTCACAAACCAAGGTGCATTCCTTTCCTAAATCAAATGTTAACGTAAAATAGTGCTGATGCTTTTTTGTATACGTCTGTGCTGACACATAAAAAATAGACTCAATTCATATACACATAATTTGCGATACTACGACTACTGTAATACAAAAATAGCTCTAGTTTAATCAAAAATAAGTTCATATGGCTTGAATGTAACAAGATTTGGTCATTAAAAGGAAAATCAAGTGACAGCAAAGCTCTTTTAGTGCAAATCTCTGGTAAGCCTCATGTTACACCAAAAAGAGCTCAAAGGAAGCAGCAATTTGAGTTCAGCCATTCATACAGTATATCGCTCAGAGACCAATCTCATATTTCTTAAAGCATCACAGCATATGAGCGCATGCGAGTATGATGTCAGACTACAGAAAGGAAAAAAGTTTTGGTGGGAGGTATACAATGAAACAAAAAGTATAAGGAAAAAAAATATATACTACAAGAAAGAAAAAAAAGACTTTCTTTCTACAATCTCAATGGGAGTCTGGATTCCCCCTGGAGCAGTCCGTCTAAGAAAAGATTGTAATTACTGGGAAAACAGAGCTCTTGATGTCTTGTGCCCTAAATGAGAGCTCATTCTCCACTTTTCTGGGGTGATCTATTCTCACACTTCGATAAGAGACAAACTGGCCGAAAAGCGAGCAGAAACACACAGTTTCCCAGGTCGCAATCACACGAATCTTGCAAGTTTAGATATCCACATGATAACGTGGCAGAGTTGTTTTTCAGAGGTTCATATGAAAAAAAGCAACGCCCGCAGCTGAGTGCGTGTCCACCACAGCAATTGCACGCAATCCGTATATGTCCAGGGTTGAAAACTCCAAGTCTTGGTGACGTGAGTGTGCAAAACCATTTTACCACTGCATAGTGTCCCATGAGGCCTTTCTTTCCTCACATGGATGACACTGATGAGTCTAGAATGCTGCCCTGCTCCTTTCTGATTCCTTAACAGGCCTGAGCGGTATCTATAAGAAGAGGAGATAATAAAACACGTAAGATGTGAACTCATAACCAGATCTTACAGATTCTTGACAGTCTCCATACCGGTTCCATTTCATTTACAAGCAGCCCGTATCTCCATTTAATTTATAAGCAGCTTGTATCAAACGAATGATCACATGAACAAAGCGAAACATAAAGCAATGAATTGTGAAACCTACATGTGTACACACATCGTGTTGAAACCTGATCATGCTTTTGCTGCTCTGTGTCACAACTTCTGACTCACCAGGAAAGGGTGTGCCTCTTTTTTCCTGTATTCTCCACCAGGTTTTTTGTATACAATTCCCCCCAAACCCATCCCCCTTTTACAATCCCCTTTTTCCTTGGCTTTGCTGTCCCACTGACCACGCAGTGACCTTGAGCCTTGCAAACACAAGCCTTATTACACGACTCATAATCTTCTTTTCTTGCAGCTACTTCTGCTTGTCTTCATTCACAGTAACACCTGAAAACTGATTCAGTTCAGAATCATATGGGAATTATATCTTGATTTGATTAATTAATAAACATGTTAGATCATATCTGACCATCAACTTTTAATCAATAATGAACTGGATGATGGATGTCAGATTATATCTGACCAGACCACATAATCAATAATTAACTGGAAAATTATATTAGGATGTCACTGACCTACAACGGTCAGTTTAACAATTAAATAGTATTGTAGAACACAGTGACTACAATGGTTTTTCACCGGCTAGCTGTAATGTTTACAAGACAGGTCCAGTTTACTATAGACGCACTTTGAGGAAGAGAAAATCTACATTTAAAATAGTTTTGAGCTGTCCATCTACCTATACATTTCTTGGCTTTATATTGCACACGTTTGAATAGAACTATAAAGCATAAAAACGCTGTCTAGGTAGGCAACTCATTAGCGGACGCAGTCATTCACTACAGCAAAAACACAAACCAAACTGGTGAATTGAGTCCCAATATTACTTGAATATCAAAACAAACAATTTCAAACATAAAAGCAAAATTCAGAGTAAAACCCCCTACGGTTTTGTCCCGTGTTCGTAAGCTTATCACCCCAGCTAAGAATATAGTCTTTCACCAAAATACTACCTTACACAGTAAAACAAGACTTCAAAACACAGAACGAATGCATATTGATTAAGTAGTAGCACAAATAACTTATAAACCACAGTAAAATACGATCATTTAACTTTTCACATCGTGTTTTGCCTTCTGTTTAACTAGGCCGCAAAGTCAAGCCTGGGACTCCATTTGTTACAGTCTCGACTGAAGGAAACTGAAACGCGGTGCTATTGAACCGATTTCAAAACAGAGCAAAAGCAAATAGCAACTTGAGCCTAAACGCTTTTAAATAAATAACACATCTATTATGAATGACATCCACTGGTATGTACTCACTCTGTGTCGTATATCCCCACTTTAAGTACTTTAAATGGATGGCGTTTATTCACACATCCTGTGATTTGTAGATTCGGTTTCTCTTCGGCATCCTGGCCCGGGTTAGTGGTAATATCTGATGGTAGAGGAGCTTCAGCTCTCTCTATCCGCTCTCTCCCTTAATCTCCGTGTCTTTCTACGGCCGGGGAAACGGCTTTTGATCTGTGTATACGCCCGGGGCTGAAAACTCCCCAAGTCGTTTATCCGATGCAGAGTCTGATAAGCCAAAAAGAAAACCCTTAACAAGGCATCATCATCATCATCTTCGTCCCCAGCATCATTTCGGGACAACGGCATAGGACATCCAGACTGAGATCTGGAAGAGATTCGTGTCTACACACTATGTAGCATGTCAAAATAATAATTGCTCAATTTGTTTGCTCAAAGGATGTAATTTCACAGAAGAAAAAAATGGCATGCAGAATAACGTAGTCAAACTGGTTTGGGTTTGTTTTATTGTATGTTCAGAAGGACATATAAAATTGCAATTGAATTTATTAAAAAATAAAATAACAGCATCTTTTACAAATGTACAAAAATATTAAAATTAGCCCTTTGAAAACCAAACATTGCTACAAATACTTGTATGCTTCTATTTAAGGTCTATGAAGCGAATGTCCATGATGAGCAGAGTGTGTCGTGGCAGCGGTCTGGGCGCCGGTGAGAGTACCGTCATCACTTGAGCTTGTGTGTCCACCGCTGTCACCACTATAAAGCCACACACCGGACTCTCTAGAATCCCTCTGCTCTGACCCGCACCCACCTCGGTTTCATCCTCCACCGAACTCACACTCAGCACGTGGTGGGTCAAATCCCTGCCGGGGCTGACTGGGACGAGTTTGAGCTGGGTGTCGTCCTGAGACATACCCAGGGGGAGACAGGAGTCTGGGATAGAGGGCGCACCAATCTTGTAAATGCGCACATCTGAAAAGCGCACATCAAAGGCGTGAGGGTAAAAAGAAGTTCCACGGAAACCATAGAAGTATTCCCGGATCTTTTCGTCCCGTGACTCTCGCCGGCAGTCCTTGGAGCGTTCCACCACGCCACCAGATTTTGGCAGAAGGACGACACGTACAAAGTGTGGCAGGTCACGTTTAAGCTCATTGTAGAGACGCTCCTGGTCCAGGACTAGAACAACATCCACCTGGAAGGCTGAAGCACAGTGGACCAGTGCCTGGTAGCCTGAACCTTTGACCCAGCCACATGTGTTGATTATACAGCCACCCACACTAGCTTTGCGGTTCACTTCGCAGCGCTGGGAAAACACTTCTGCAAGGCTTGAAGTCAGCTACACACAAAGAGAAAAAGAGAGACATTCATTATAACACATTCTTTTCATTTGTCTGGATGATGCATAGTGAAGTCAACATGAAACAGCATTCACAACCTGTTACTTCAGTAATCTGACATACACTGTCCATTTTGGGGTCTGTAAGATTTTTTTATGTTTTTGAAAGAACTCTCTAATGCTCACACAGACTGAATATTATAACATAACTATTAATTAAATATTTATTCCTGTGATGGCATAGCTGAATTTTCAGCATCATTACTCCAGTCTTCAGTGTCACACGATCCTTCAGATATCATTTTAATATGCTGATTTTCTGCTCAAGAAACATATCTTACTATTATAAATGTTGAAAACAGTAGTGCTGGTTAATATTTTTGTGGAAACAGTGATACATTTGTCTGGATTCTTTAATAAATATAAAGAAAGGTTTTAGAAAGAATAGAATAGAAAAAATAGGGGGAAAAAAAGGTTTTTGCAAACATGTAAAAGTCCCGTGTCAATTTTGATCAATTGAATGCATCCTTGCTAAATAAAAATAATATGCTAAATATAATAATTTCTTTAAATAAAAAACATTACTGACCCCAAACTTTTGAACAGTACTGGATTACAATCAGACAGTATTTAATAGGGGTGCACGATTCAGAAAATGTCACGATTCGATACCGATTTTTTGTCTCAAGATTCGATTCAAAATCGATTTTCGATTCAAAAACGATTCTCGATTCAAAAAACGATTCGCAGTATATAAATGTAGTTTACTTTTTCCTATGTGATTGATTGCAGTAGACACAATTTAAAAGAAAAAACAACAACAAATTAAATGTAGTTTGATATTACTTTATATGTTTTCATACAAAAATAAAAACTTTTGCAACTAAAAAGTGCAAAGTGCCAAGCTTTGGCCAGCTTTCAAGTACATTTAATTCAAGTTTAAAATAAAACTTAAATAAAAAGCTTTTACATTTAGCTTTAAAGTGCTGTAGTCAGATTGTTGCTAAATGTGGTTTAAGGACTACTTTAGCTACCAGGCTGACTGTTGAAATGTGAACTCGACTGGGCACATTGAACTTCCTAAAAATATATACTAATGTCATAAAACCCTTGCGAAATTATTTTAAATAGATTTTAAAAAGCCACCGCTACTGGTAACATCTATGGTTAGATTGATTTGTTTAGATCCAGTGAAGTCGTTCATAGGCGTAATTTGCGGGTATCTCCAGTTAACTAGCAGAGCATTCATTTAGTTCGCTATTAAATAAGAGATCTGTTGTTTTTGAAATCAAGCTGCGCGCTCGTTGCCGCTGCTATGTGTCATGAGCCCCTTTCACACAGCGCTTTGAACCCGGCAAATTGCCAGAGTGCCTTCTGTGTGAACGCAAACACGACCCGGGATTGATGCCGGGATCGATGCCGGGTTGGGGACCTAGTAACATTGCCGTGTTCAGACCCGGAACGCGCGCTGTGTGAACAAAAGCCAGAACCAATGCCGTATAAGGGGTGTGTCGTAGTGAGGATTCACGAGCCTTTGCAATGACGTAGTTATCGTGCGGCTCAGTTACTCTAGAAGAAAGTTTGTGTTCGTCAACGATACAAGAAAGAACGAAAAAATGTCTGCAAACTGGACTGAAGTAGAGACCCGTCACATCCAACGTCACGCGTCTTTCCGGAACATACACGGGTTGTGTGTGAATTCCGGCAA